ACAATGTCCAGGGAACTCAGGCTTGTTTGCGACCCAAACCAGCAGAGTTCTGCTGGGAATTACTTGCCAACCAATGTTTAAAATTTTCACACAGAGGGAGGCGTGCAGGGGAAAGAGAGTGCTCAGTTTCAGATGCACGTAAAACCCAGAGTTTTTTCGGAGTGGAGGGCAGGGAGTTCTGAGGATGGGCCCCCGTGCTCAGCTTCAGGGATTTTGGAAAGGCCACAGTCACGTTACGTTATGGTGACTAGGCTGTGCCAACCAGTTGCCACATGCGAAAAAGGGGCCACTCCACTGCCCATGCATCCTAGCACTCATCAGGGAGCTGAGTTGGAATCAGTGTGTGACTGCTGCCTGGGTAATGTGAAGAACCAACACAGGCCCAGGAAATGTACAAGACATAAAACTGCAACTGATGCACTCTCAGTCTCTCTCACACACTCACTCACATACACACACAGAGACATATATCATATGTGTGGAGTAAGATTCTATAGGAAGCCCTCAGGATGCATGCAGGCATTCCACTATGCCTAGCCCTGGAGGAAAGGGGGCTCTTTCACAGAATTTGTGCATGATTTCCAGTTGTCTCTGTCTGTGCATGATTATAGATTCCAAGCTAGAAAGGACCATTGTGATCATCTAGTCTGATGATCAGGCCAGAGAATTTCCCCCAAATAATTCCTAGTGCAGATCTTTTAGAAAGACATCCAGTCTTGATTTTAAAATTGCCAGTGATGGAGAATCCACCACAATCCTGGGTAAATTGTTCCCATGGCTAATTACCCTCATTGTTAAAAATTTTACACCTTATTTCAGTCTGAATTTGTCTAACTTCAACTTCCAGCCATTGGATCGTGTTACACCTTCATCTCCAGATTGAAGAGCTATATTTGTTCCATGTGTATGTACTTACAGACTGTAATCAAGTCACCCCTTAACCTTCTGTTTCTTAAGCTAAATACATTGATCTCTTTGAGTCTGTCACTATAGTATAAGGCATGTTTTCTACTCCTTTAATCATTCTTGTGGCTCTTCTCTGAACCCGCTCCAATTTATCAACATCCTTCTTGAATTGTGGAACCAGAACTGGACACAGTATTCCACCAGTGCCAAATATAGAGGTAAAACAACCTCTCAGCTTCTACTTGAGATTCTCTTGTTTATGCGTTCTAGGATTGCATTAGCCCTTTCAGCCCCAGTGTTGCACTGGGCTACAGAGTCGCTCTCCTCCAGTAGGAGAGGGCGCCGCAACTCAGCCAGGGTCCGGGAACAGGGCGCCGTGCACAGCTGTGGTGTGAGTGATCATCCAGGACTACAGCTGGCTGGGAAATGGGGGAGGGTTTTCCAGGGAAAAGTTTAGAGGGAAAATGAATCTTTTCCCTTTTTCCTCCCTAAATTTTCTGTGGAATTTTTTCATTGAAAACCCCCAAATTAGTCTACTTTCAAAGCCATGTTTTAGGGTTACCATACGTCCGGATTTTCCCGGACATGTCCGGCTTTTGGGGGCTCAAATCCCCGTCCGGGGGGAAATCCCCAAAAGCCGGGCATGTCCGGTGCGGGGCCGGGGGCATGGTGCCGGGCCGGGAACCAGTGGCGCAGTGCCGGGCCAGGGTTACAGTGCCGGGCCGGG